ACATTATGACAGCGTATATTTACATTAATTGTCCCCCGCCTTTTCGAAGAAAAAAGGGGGATATAGAAATAGGCTCCGTCTGTCCGTCCGTCCGTCACACTTTCGTGTCCGGTCCATAACTTTGTCATTTATGAAAGGAATTTGAAATAACTTGGCACAAATGTTTATTATAATAAGACAATGTGTCATCCAGGGTCAAGGTCACACTTGCTCATTCAAGGTCAACATTGCCTATTTGAGGGTATATGTCGTGTCCGGTCCATAACTTTCTTATCTATGAAGGGATTTTGTAAATACTTGCCATAATTGTTCACAATAATCATGACAATGTGTCATGCGCAAAAACCAGTCACCTACCTTCAAGATCAAGGTCACACTTGGAGGTCAAATATACAGGGTATATTTCGTGTCCGGTCCATAACTTTGTCATTTATCAAGGGAATTTGAGATAACTTGGCACAAATGTTTGTTATAATAAGACGATGTGTCATGCGCAACAACCAGACCCGTACCTTCAGGGTCAAGGTCGTACTTGCTCATTCAAGGTCAACATTGTCTATTTGAGGGTATATGTCGTGTCCGGTCCATAACTTTCTTATCTATGAAGGGATTTTGTAAATACTTGCCATAATTGTTCACAATAATCAGATGATGTGTCATGCGCAAAAACCGGTCACCTACCTCCAAGGTCAAGGTCACACTGGGAGGTCAAATACTTACATAGTCTGTTACAGGGTATATTTTTGTCCGGTCTAAAACTTTTTCATAGATCAAAGGATTTTGAAAATACTTTGCACAAATAGTCACTTTAATAAGAGGATGTGTCATGCGCAACACCTGCATCCCTACCTCCAAGGTCAAGGTCACACTTAGAGGTCAAAAAATTAACATAGTCTGTTATAGGGTATATTTTGTGTCGAATCTAGAACTTCTTCATAGTTCAAGGGATTTTGAAATAACTTTGCACAAATAGTCACAATAATAAGCCGATATGTCAGGTACAACACCTGCACCCCTACCTCTTAAGGTCAAGGTCACACTTAGAGGTCAAAGGTTAACAGAGTCTGTTATTTGGTATATTTCTTGTCCCATCCATTACTTCTTCATAGATTAAGGGATTTTGAAAATACTTGGCACAAATAGTCACAATGATTAGATGATATGTCATGTGTAACATCTGTGTCCCTATCTCCAAGGTCAAGGTCACACTTAGAGGTCAAAGATTTACATAGTCTGTTAGAGGGTATATTTTGTGTCCAATCTATAACTTCTTCATAGTTCAAGGGATTTTGAAAATACTTGGCACAAATAGTCTCAATGATAAGACGTTATGTCATGCACAACACCTGCTCCCCTACCTCCAAGGTCAAGGTCACACTTAGAGGTCAAAGCTTAACATGATAGATTTTTAAATTCCGTGTTTCATTTTATTTTTTAACAAATTTATTGTTATATTTGCAGATCTAGCATTGATCATAATTTTGGACTGAATGTCCTGAGATCCATACCTCAATCTTTTGAAATAGCACAATTTTATGCTTCATATAAAACTCCCGGGGCGGGGGACGTTGGTAACTCTGTTACAAATTCTTGTTTTCATCTATTTTGAACAAAACTGAAAAAAAATACCTTTGACAAAATAATTAAACTGTCACATCCGAAAAATCATGATTTAGTCCTCTCATTTAATAATGTCTCCCAAAATTTTTGGTAGACAAATTGTTTTTGCATTCGCCGTCTGTCCGTCCGCATTAAGCTTCTCCGCCCTTCACAAGTCAAGCTACTGGTGGGATTTCAATCAAACTTTACAGGAGTGATCAGTACCATCCCTAGTTGTGCACATCATCGGCAAAAATGCAAATCCTATAAATGAAAACACCTGTCTACTTACACAGAAACCCATGTCACCAACACAGAATATCAGTTGTATAGATAAAAGGAAACAATATCTGTCAGAATGACACCAGAATCACCTACTCCAGACTGAAGTGTGAGCCCAGCAAAGAAAAAACATGACGTACTCATTCTGGGAGATTCAGTTAGTAAAGGACTAACAAGAATAAATGAGTACAAATCAGATAATATCACCATAAAATCAACTAGTGGTGAAACTGTTCAGGACCTCAAGAAAAAAATTGAAGATGATAGATCACATAAAAAAATGAACAGAAGAAGCTGACTTAATCATCCTGCTTAAGGCATAAACAGTATCTTAAATGCCAACTCCATGATATTTGTGAAGAATTTAAAGAAGTAGTTAATTCACTACACAGTCAACCAAAAAGTGAGAATTGGAATATCATCTATTCTGCCAAAAAAGAGAGATATGCTGTCAAGGAGAAATATATTGCTGAAATAAATAGTCTAATAGAAGAGCTCTGCAAGACCAATGGGTTCCTTTTAAGCTCGACTATTCGAAGAATATGGAGAGCTATTGCAGTGGCCCCGGCATCGGCGTCTGCGTTGGTTAAAGCTTTTTGTAAAGTCAAATATCTCAATTATTGCTTAAGATATTCAATGGAAACTTACAATACTTATTTATGGTAACAATGTTCATCAGATTGACAAGTTGGATAACTCTGCCTACAAAATTTACACAATTATGCCCCTTTTTAACTAAGAAATTTTGGTTAAAGTTTTTTGTAAAGTCAAATACACAAATGTATCTCAATTATTGCTTGAGCTATTCAATGGAAACTTACAATACTTATTTATGGTAACAATGTACATCAGATTGACAAGTTGGATAACTCTGCCTACAATATTTACAGAATTATGCCCCTTTTTAACTAAGAAATTTTGGTTAAAGTTTTTTGAAAAGTCAAATATCTCAATTATTGCTTGAGATATTCAATTGAAATTTACAATGCTTTTTTAAAGGAACAATGTACATCAGTTTGCAAAGTTGCATAACTCTGCCTGCAATATTTGTAGAATTATGCCCCTTTGAAACTTAGAAATTTTGGTTTAAGAGCATTAGAACTATCAAAGATATTTACTTGAAACTTTACACATGTCTTAGGGCCATAATTGAAGGTCACATCTCAAGATCCATTACTCTGCCATGTATTTTGACTGAATTATGCTCCCTTTTGTACTAATTAAAATCTCCTTTTCTTGGTTAAGTTTTACATGCAAGTTTTGCTTATCTCTGAAACTATTAAAGATACAAACTTGAAACTTCATATGTATATTTGTGGTCATAAATAACAATCACTGAACAGCAATCATATCTGTGTCATGTATTTAGGCTGATTTATCTCCCCCTTTTTAGCTCACCTGTCACAAAGTGACATTGTGAGCTTTTGTGATCGCTTTTCGTCCGGCGGTCCGTCCGTAAACTTTTACTTTAAACGACATCTCCTCATAAACCGCTAAGCCAATTTCATCCAAACTTCACAGGAATGTTCCTTTGGTAGTCAACTTTAAAAATTGTTCAAAGAATTTAATTCCAAGCAGAACTCTGGTTGCTATGGCAACTGAGAACTCTGGTTGCCATGACAACCGAAAGAAAAAACTTAAAATATCTTCTTTTAGAAAACCGAAAGAGCTACAGCTTAGATATTTGGAATGAAACATCATCTAGTCTACCAAGTTTCTTCAAATAAATGTCCTTGGGTCAAAATTGGCCTCGCCCCAGGGGGGCATTGATTTTCCTAATTTGTATATAGTAAAAACTTAAAAAATCTTTTAAAAAACCCAAATAGCTAGAGCTTAGATATTAAGCATGAAGCATCCTCTAGTGGGTGTCTACCAAGTTTGTTCAAATAAAAGCCCTGAGGTAAAATTGGCCCCGCCCCAGGGGGTCATTGATTTTTCTAATTTGTATATAAAAAAATCTTTAAAAAAACAAAATAGCTAGAGCTTAGAAATTAAGCATACAACATCTTCTAGTGGTGTCTACCAAGTTTGTTCAAATAAAAGCCCTGTGTAAAAAATTGGTCCCGCCCCAGGGGGTCATTGTTTTTCCCTTTATGTATATATAGTAAAAACTTACAAAAATCTTCTTTTAAAAAACCCAACGAGCTAGAGCTTAGATATGTAGCACGAAACATCTTCTGACGGGTATGAGTCTATTTCTGTACCTAGGCCTGAGAGTTTAAAATCTAAGAGAGGTCATGGTGGAATTTGTCTTTTCTATAAACAGTCTTAAGCAAGGAATAATAGTACAAGAGACTGATAGTGCAGGGTTCATATGGGTGAAGTTGTGTTAAACGTGATGATCTATATGTTTGTTTTGTATATACCACCAAGTAACTAAGTTTATTATTTAAATCACGAAATTGGGGGTTTTTTTGAAAAATTAGAACATAACATTCGAAAGTATCAGGAGCATGGTAAAGTATCAATTATTGGAGATACAAATGCCAGATGTGGTGATAGATCGGACATTTTTTTACAAAATGTATGCGATTATAGCAAGTATATTCCATCATTAGAAACTGATGTAAACGATACTTTTAATTATGATTTACCTGAACGGTTTAGCATGGATAAAATTGTTAATTCTTTTGGTAACAAATTGCTTGATTTATGTTTATGTTCGAATTTAAGCATTGTTTATGGGCGTATTGGTGATGACTCTGGTGTCAGTAGCTTTACATATATGTCATCTAACGGAAATACACTTAACGAAACTTATAAGTACTATTTTAAAACAAAATCAATCATCCGAAACGCAATATGGCGGTCACATGCAAAAACCTGAAAATGGGCACGTGCATTTCGTGCAAGATGCCCACATTGTGTATTTTGATGCAAATTGTTAGTTTATTGATGTGCCTAACATAAAAACACAAAATGGCCCGAATGTCGCTGCAACAAAGAGGAATTGCCATTGGGCTATTACAGGGCGGCGCATCGCATGCAGAGGTATGAATTTAAACACGCAATGCCCTTGCCCATTTACGGGTTTTTGCATGTGACCGCCATATTGCGTTTCGGATGATTAATTTTGTTTTAAAATCATTCATGCAGTCGGAAAGTAGTAATAATAATAATAATAATAATATCTTTATTTAAAGAAGGTTACACATTAAGAACATACAATAACAATCATATATATCTTATTTCCAATGTGGCCTTCTGAAATAGAAAACAACAACAACAGGACATGCATAGGTAGAAAAATGAATGTATAATATGTAATTTTAAGAATAATACAACTCATATACTTTCGACAGACACTCAACAATTTGTTTAAACATATACGTATATTGCATCATTCGTTCGTTCGTTCATTCGTTCGTTCATATATTTATTCATTCACTCACTCATTCATTCATATGAACATCAAGATATGCTTTGTATTTTTCTTTAAAACATTTATGGTTATTAACATTACGAATATTTAAAGGTATATTGTTCCAAATGTTCATGCCATAATAAGAAAATGTGTCTTTAATATAATTTGTTTTAGGTCTTGTCCATAATACAATATCTTTTCGTGACCTAGATCTTAAGTTATATATTTTGTTGTCGGATAAAGTCATCAGTTCTGTCATATAAGTCGGTGCCATGTTATTTAAAGTTTTAAAAACAAGCACCGCCGTGTGGTATTTACATCTGTCAAGGAACGGTAACCAATTAAGAGTTTCGAATAGATTTATTGACGGAGATCTTTGAGGTTGCTGTAAAATGATTTTAGCAATTCGTTTTTGTAAATTACAAACATTATTTATGTAGTTTGTGTTTCCTTTACCAGATCTGGGGATGATTACATTGATCAGTAATTGATTTAATTACAATTACTTTCAGATTTTATTGTAATTGATTACAATTGATTACTCAGACTTACCTCTGTAATCAATTAAATTACAATTACTTTCAGAAAGTAATTGATTGATAATTGATTACATTCTATGTATAACTATAAACAAAAGTTTCTTAATGCTATTTAATATACTAGTATACATTATATACATTATATACACAAAGGATTTACAGCTCATCATCAGTCATCATTTTAACACACTTCTAGTTACTGACACATCACTTTATCATATTTAGCATCATAAGTTCATGAAACCGTCTGTCAGTCAGACTGCATCTATCAGGACGGAAAATTTTACCCGTAACACTAGGAATGGTCCTCAGTCTTCTTGGTGTAGGTTTCATAATGAACTCTCTGCAACAGAAATTTTGAAAAGTGTCAATTGTACAGTATGCTGTATACAGGTGTTAAAACAGGTGTGAAAACAATAAATTTTTATATGGGAATTCAAAGAGACAATAGACTTTACAAAGAAATTATCATTTTTTTACAAACACTTCAACAGTATCCATTATAATATAGACACATTGTCTATCACTATACAAAATAACTGTTGCATATAATTAAAATATGGTAATATGCATCTGACATAAACTCTAGAATATACAAAGTAAAGAAGTTATCTACAGTGTTTGAAACTTTTTAAAACATGGTTTAACCAAAATATGTGAAACAAAATTTAACATACCTTTATGTGGGTAATGAAATTTGAATGTGACTTAGTGTTTCCATTTATCTTCTTAGGGCACAATTTGCACTGTGCTGTCACATTTCCAGATTTTTCTTTAGGAAATTCAAAGACATCATAAATCCAATGATTTGACATTTTGGTTAGAATACCAGCCAAACAATGATGTCTATCTTTCAGTTAGAATTTGGTTAACTGTATGGATTAAAACTTATTTCTTCATTGTGAGTGATGTCTTAAAATGTCTTACTTGATAATTTACTACCTTAGTTAAACTGTAACATGTGAAATAAATCATTTGAATTTCAATAGTTTCATGTAAAATCTGAAAGTAATCAACATCAATCAAATTGTAATCATAATTACAGACTGAATTTAAGCTGTAATTGATTAATTACAATTAATGTAATCAATTTTGAGCAAGGTAATCAATTACATGATGATTACAGTGTAATCATGTAATCAATTAAAAAATCGATGATTACGATAAGTGATTACCCCAGGTCTGTCCTTTACCCCATATAATACAACAATAGTCCATAATGGGCAATATATATGCATTGTAAAACAATAATTTCATATCAAAGTGCAAAAAATACGATATTTTTTTCAATAAGGCAATTTTTCCGTTAAGTTTTTTACAAACATTGTCAATTTGCAAGTGCCATTTTAAGTTGTTATCTATGCAAATACCCAATACTTTTTGATCAGTTACATTTTCCAGAGCTATTTCATTTATCTTAAGAATTAATTTTCTCATAATATTTACTTTTTGTCTTGTTCCTATTACCATACATTTTGATTTATCTGGATTTAAGGCCATATTATTTATTTTGCACCATTTGTCAATGTTATTTAAATGATCTTGAAGTTTTATTTCTACTTTTGATATATTATCTCCGGACTCATAAAGAGTAGAATCGTCTGCGTATAAATCAATTTTTATATCATTACCAATGAAAGCTATGTCATTTATGTATATTAGAAATAATAAAGGTCCTAATATTGAGCCTTGTGGAACACCGGAAATTATTTTCATTGGCTGAGATTGAAGATTACCTATCTTAACCAGTTGTATTCTGTTAGAAAGATATGACTTAAAAAACTTAACGGCATTTTCAGAAAAATGATAAAGTTTAAGTTTATGCAAAAGTATTTCATGGTCAACCAAATCAAAGGCTTTCTTTAAGTCTAAGAATACAGTCCCGATAATTTTTCCACTGTCAACATCTTTTAACCAAGTATCTATTAAACTAATGAGTGCAGTATTACATGAATGATTTTTACGAAATCCTGATTGTTTATTATGAATAATGTTCGTTTTTTCAAAGAATGAGTGTATTTGTTTGGCAATATGGCTCTCAAATATTTTGGATATAGTTGACAAAATTGATATCGGTCGATAGTTATTTGCTTCATTCTTATCCCCCGATTTAAAAATAGGTATAACTCGAGCTCTTTTTAAATCATCTGGGAAAATATTAGATTTAATACTATTATTGATAATTGATGTAATTATTGGTGTTATATAATCTCCACAATATTTGATGATGTTTGGTCCAATTCCATCTAATCCTGTAGATTTTTTAATATTCAGTTTTTCAATAATAAGTTTTACTTCAAACGGTGTAATTAATTCAATATTAAATTCATGATATATTAGCTTTTGGTCTAAGTTTCTTTCAATTTTGAAAAATTTGTATTTGAAAAATTTGTTTTATGTATGACATTCGAGATATTGACAAAATACTTGTTTAATTCATTTATAATATTTACAGTTCCACAAATTTCTTTATTACCTGTCACTAGTCTGTCTGGCATTGTAATACAACCTTTTTTATTTAGATTTGAAACGTCCTTTAAATTTTTCCATAAAAATGCCGGGTCTTTGTTATTTTTAATAGCATTGTTAAAGAAATCTCTTTTACTTTTTTTAATCATTGATGTTATTCTATTTCTGAGCAATTTGTATTGTTCATGTTTCCCTACTTTATGATAGTAATCGCGTTCATGTATAAGATATTTTATCTCATCATTAAACCATTCCGGGCGGTGTTCACGTTTGATACGTTTTTCTTTTATTGGTGCATGCTTTTTCAAGATAGTATTTAAAATGGAGTAAAATAAGCTAAGGGATTCATTCGGATTAATTATGTGCTCGACTAATTCAAAATCGGATAAAGCAAGGTCTACCTGAAAATCAATTTCATTGAAGTTTTTAAAACATCTATATTTAATCGAATTATGTTCATTAATCAATCGGGTACATGCTTTCGTTAATCTTGAAATACCTATCGGATAATGATCACTTAATGACGTATCAGAAACAAACGATTCAATAATATATATGCTACTGTTTGTATAAACATGATCTATAATTTTTTGGGTACGTTTTGTTATCCTAGTAGGATCTGTGATAAGTTGTTTCAAACCATATTTCGTTATCAAATCACCCCAATTTGTATTGTCATATTTTTTCTTTTTATTCATTGGATAAAAGTTTATATTGACATCTCCTAGAATATGATATTCTATATTTGATATATCTATTATACTTAGTTGTTTTTCATAATCGTCAATCCAAGATTGGTGTACGTTTGGTGGGCGATATATAAAATCTAAAAGAAAAGGTTTGCAATTTGGGTAAATAATTTCCAACCAAACAGATTCTAATTCGTCCGTTTCTATATCGTAACGGCGCCGATATGGCACCTTGTCAGCAATATATATTACAACTCCCCCGCCTTTGTGACAATTTTTACGGTCCTTTCTTTCGTGTGTGAAATTGTTAATATTTAATTCATCGTCTGTTGTATCATCACCAAGAAATGTCTCAGTAAAGCCGAAAATATCTGGCGAATTTAATTTTTTTAATAGATTGTATTTTATTTCGTCTATTTTAGGCATTAAGTGATTAACGTTAAGGTGTGCAATATGTAAACCTCGTTTTTCAAACTTAGAATTGAACAATTTATTATCTGGAAAATTTGATTTATGGAGCGTAACATTATTTAGTACTTTGCAATTATATTCATCATTTCCGTATTTATTGTATGGCACTGATTGTTCAAAAGTAACAATTTGATTACCAGATGCAATAGTGTCTATAAATTTTCGTTCTTTTACTATCAAATCAATAATTTTTCGCGTATTTAAACATATGTGTAAAATATCAATTGTGGAATACAACATAAAATCGTAACATACATTATAAATTGATATATTAGTTTGAAAATCGCTATAAAGATCTTGTTTTAATATAAATTGTTTCAATATATTTGTAGCTGTATTAATTTCTTCAAGCTCTGATTTTGTTTCATCTTTAATACAAGTCACATGGTTTTTAACACTTTGAATTTCATCTTTGATTTGACCAAATCTCCTTTCTGTGTTGATTATATGATTTTCAAGTGTATCGCGCAAAGAGTTCATACATTCGTTGATTGATTTTAGCATGCACAGTACCAAGTCGCCTTTGTCACCATTAGCTCCAATTTCTTTGTCATCATTAAATGTTTCACTAATACTGTCATTTATGTCTAGTTTTGTTTCTTCTGCATTTATGACTGATTTTTCTTTCAAAAGTTGTTTACGTTTCACGTTAGATCTAGTATTATTCGTGCCATTCTCATGCTGATTGTTGTTCGTATTATATTCTTGTAATAGATTTTTTAGACATAGATTTATTTCTCCTACTGACGTATTTTCTGTACTCAGGATTTTCGATACCACAAATAATCTGAGGGAAATCGTATTCCATGAAAATGTGTGACTGTTTTCCATTTATTAAACACGACGACTTTGTATGGTACATGTTAAGTGTGTAAACAGTTGACTTACCGGATGTTACTTTGTATTTTGTTTCGACTGTATTTACTTTTTTGTCTGTAACAGTAATTATTTGATATTTATATTGATCAGATTCACTAGAGTAAAACTGCTCTGCTGAAAACTTCAAAAGTTCGTATGCTCCCGTATTCAAACAAATCTTCACTCCTCCACCAGTTTGTATTATCTCCAAATCTGTACGATTAGTATCATTCAATTTTTTCTCTATTGATCTTTTTTCATTCAAAATATAGTTTCGTTCTTCTACTTCCGGTTCTTTGTTGAGGTCCTGAATTCTTTTTTCTTTTACAAGTTCTTTATTTTCCATATTTCAGCCAAAAAATATATATCAATACACGCACCTAAATATTATCTTCGTTTTTATCTATTTTTTAACAATTTCTTTTCCTTCAAATTTGAGAAAGTAATTTTAATCAATATTTAATCTCTCTCTCTTTAAGAAACTTGTTTATCCGGACGTGACGTCACAATAGAGTCAGTACACATTTTCAACATTGATTTGGTATATATTTTGAAAACCGGAGTTTTCCTGCAAGTTTGAAATCGGAGTACTTATAAGTTTCGTTAAGTGTAGTCTTATTGATTATGTACTTATGCCATATGTTCTCATCATGCACCTATTCAAATTAATCTAAGTGTTAACAGTATGGTACCCGATACGACCGTGGATGATAAATTCATAGATAAGCTCTTCTGGAGTAATGATAAAAGTTAATGAATATCAAACATTAATCGACTCACAAATTATTAATTTAGAAAATATAGTCGATAATATTGTACTTTCCAATATTGATTTGAATACAGGTATAGATCAATTTGCTAATGTGTTATATACAAATGTTTATACTATTTTTGGCAGGTCGTAAATGTGTCGAACCCAAAAGTAAAGATCAAAAATGCATGGTTTAATCATGAATGTGCAGAGGCTAAACGTGAATTTCGTTGAGCTAAATTAGCATATAGGGAAAATAAATCCAGTAATGACAGGAACATTTTATGATGTACGGTCAGTGAAGCGTAAAGCTCTCGCATGTTTTAAGGCCAAACAAAAAAATCATTTACATAACCTAGCTCCGTCACAGCCCCAGCAGTTTTGGCAAGAGTTACGTAAGCTTAAATCTATGAAGCCTCAAAATAGTAGCATAAGCTCGGAAGATTTTTTAGTCATTTTAAACATGTTTTTTTCTGGTGATAATAATTTCTGTAATGAAAATGTTGAGAATGATTTGTCAAATGATAATAATATTAATAATGTAGAACAACTTGACAATTTGTTTACTGTTGAAGAAGTTTTGCAAGCTATTTCAGAGTTAAAACGAAGAAAAAGCGCAGGTATTGACTGCCTTATTCCAGAAATGTTTACTGAATGCAATGATATACTTGCACCGTTATTGTGTAAACTTTTTAACCATATGTATATTAATTGTATTTATCCACAAAGCTGGACTAAAGGTGTGATTGTCCCAGTTCCTAAAAAAGGAGATCAAAATAATGTGAATAATTATAGAGGAATTACTCTTACTAGCATTTTTTCTAAGATATTTTCTACACTTTTAAATACACGTCTTCGTAAATGGGCCGAATCAATTGAATTATTGTCCGATTTCCAATTTGGTTTTAGGAAGAGCAAAAGCACGGTCGACTGTATATTTGTTTTAACATCAATAATAAAAAAGAGTTATCTCCCATGAGAAGAAAAAACTTATTGTGCTTTCGTAGATTTTCGTAAAGCGTTTGATATGGTTTACAGGAATGGTATATGGTTTAAATTGTTACAGTGTGGTGCTTCCTCTAGATTAGTCAAGATGTTACAAAAGATATATGAACAAGTAAAATGTTGTGTACGTGTTAATGGTCATTATAAGTATAAAGGGAGTTAAGCAAGGCGAATCTTTATCGCCCTTGCTATTCTTATTTTTCATTAATGATATGCAACATTGTATATATGATAATACCAGAGATTCTTTTTGTATTGATGAAATTAGAATGTATTTATTGTTATTTGCAGATGACACTGTTTTATTCTAGAGATGGTCTTCAGAATATTTTAAATGACTTATATGCATATTGTACAGATTGGGGGATAAGTGTTAATATAGATAAAACAGTTGTTATGGTTTTTGGGGAGGCTATGCCTCCCTAATGTTAAGACCGTTCATCAAATCTTACTGCAACGGTAATCAGGTAAAAATCAAAGTGCTGCAGCACTGAATGCGACGGACATGCAACCGGAGACATTAATTAAGGCTTCTTTTAGAAAAAAACAAAAACAAAACACAAAATATATAACAGAGAAAATTTGTTCCATACAAGTTCTAGATTTGTAGAGCAATATATTTTGTGTCCCAAATTGATATAACTTTCAAGCACTTAAATACAGAATGAAATTTATGCCTAAAAACTGTGGTCAAACTTGTAAATCAGTGTCCTTATCGATTTATTCTAAGAAATGA